ATCTGCGTGGCTTGTCGTTGGTGAATACACTTGTATCAATTTTAATTTATATCTCGAATTCAACTTTAAGTTTTTAGTGATAACTCTCGAGCTTACACTTTCTATTTTTAATATGTTTGGTACATGTCGTTTGTGTACGATAAATCCAACTTCACCATTTGATGAATTGTCCTCTCCCTTGAAATGGAATAAGTGGCCAGATTTAAGAGCATATTGTTCTTCTCTTCTTCTGACTTCGCTGAGACCCATTACGTCCCACTTTATCGATTTTAGCTCTTCCTCCATTTCTAACAATTTAGACTCTGATGACATTGTTCTCACATGATATGAAGCAATAACGTACACTAATATCAAAAAAAGTAAATGGTGCAAAGTTAGACCTTGTCGATCGAAGTTACCCCGAATGACTGTATTCTGTTAATGATGACAGTCCGACTGAACCAAAAACGTTTTGAAGATTTGTAATTCTTTTGGATAAATTTTAAATTATTTTTTAATAAAATATACCGTTATACACAAGAAGTTTTTACTTCTATGTAAGTTTTTTAAACTATGATATACAGCCACCCACTGGGATTTCCCCTTTTACTTTGTAATATTAAACTATTAACCCAATTTTTTGATTACAGGTTTTCAATTAAATAAAATATTATATGAGAATATAGAGTTAATACACAAGCACCCCTAAATAAGCATAAAATTTTAGTACTTGTGTATTAAACCGCTCTATTTTAAAATTTTTTGTTCTCACACTTTTACTCTATCTACGGCATTTTAATGGTGTGTGGGATATACTTTTAACAAGGGAACTATACAAAAGGATTCGCTCTTAAAACTTTTATACTCGTCCGTTGAATCTTATAGTGAACAACTTTCCGAACGCGTTTATTGTAGTGGTAGTAAACAAGATTTTTTCACTTTTGAAATTATTCTCGAGGGCTTTTTGCATATTATTTATTATTCATATTTTATTCGACCTATTACTTCAGTGGAAGAAAATGGTTTAGTTAGTATATGAACACAATTTAAACATTGATTGATATCTTTAATAGGAATAAAGCACAATTTCAGTTTAAAATATACGTTTATATTTCAGTTTTGATTTCCACTAATAATACGAATCGAGACGTTAATTAAGGTAAAATTAAGGTTAATTCCCATTAAAAAGAGTACATTGAGAGTAAATCATGATCATTAAATGCCACCAGTAAATAGCTTCAAAACAATTCAAAACAAACAATTCAAAACTTATATATTGCACAGATTTGTTGGAAATTTGTCTTTATTATACAGCTAGCAATTGACGCATTTGTAGTAAATTGTTTTTATTTACGGTAAAAACAACTTAAATTCCTACAATATATAAAATTAACAATATAAAAAACTAATTAATTTCCATTACTTACTCTTCTCTTGCTGTCTGCTAAATTCTTTAAATTATTTCCTAATCGGTGACAGTTTTTTTTCTGAAGTTTCAATATTATATCTGACATAGTCTTTAGAACAGTAGCAACGGAAGATTTTGGGTAACATGATAAAACTAAAAAAAATTTAAAAACTAAAATACAGGGTGTTTAAATAAATATTCCATATAAATAATAAATATTCGTAACACTCCCGCCTGGTAGAGTTCTATGCGAAAGAAAAACCGTACCACTTATTTTTTATCATCTTCATTTATTGGTATGACTGCTAATTTTATAACAGGATGTTCATATTCCATTTTATTGTTTGAACTGTTGCTCGTCGCACTTGTCCATCAAGTGATTTTTTAACTTCAATAACATTACCCTTTATCCTATTTCTTCTTGGTAAATTGCTCTCTGTATGAATAATTAAATTTAAATACTTTAATTTAAATACTTTAACATCTTCGTTTAAAAATCCAATTGGTTTATCTCTGTTTAAAGATCCAGGTGGTCTTGAGTTTACTGTGTTTTCTGGAGCAATAAAAAAGAATACTTTTTTGAAGCATTTTCTAAGCGGGTTTCCAGTCCATTTTAAGCAAAGTTGTTCTGGGTTTCCAATTATATTTAGCTTTTTAGCAATACTTTCTTCTAACAAAGTAACGTGTTCTAACGTTTCTTCTGACAAAGCTTGTTCCTTGATGTGAATTACTTTCTTCATCTGCAGATAAGAGGTGTGATTGTACTGTTTGCATATCGCTTTCCTTTTTGTTAAGCTTTGTACTTTTATTATTTACTTGTTCTGAAAAATCATGAAGAAGAGGATGATTCTTCCTTTGGCATTCTTCTTTGTTGCTTTTTACAGGATGCCTACAGGGAAATCTGTGTTTCTTTAAATAAAGTCCAAATAAATTTAAGGCTTTAATAGCCTCCCATCTTTGAGATAATAAATATCTCTGAAATTCTGGACAACCTGCAATCTTTTTACAATCTCTCTGATTACACAGTTAACAATTATGTGTTTCACTTAAGGTATTTGGTTCATGTATATTACCATGCGTATTATTATTAAATTGCCTTTTTTACTTTGGTCATTAAGGACTAGTGTAGGTAGAGCAGAACAAACATTTGTTGCTATATTATACAACTAACCCGCAAGTTCACTTAATCCAGAAAAATTTTAAAAAGTACTGCGATATATTGCTCAATTAACTTTGATTTGTGATGGTAGTTTCTCTAATAGATCATGCATAAGGGTACGGTTATTAAAATAGTCTTTTAAATTAGAAGCTTCAAATAAAACACATAAATTTTTAACTGCTAAAGCAAATTCTACCAGAGTTTCAAGTTTTTCCGGTTAAGGAGGTAGTAATCTACGAATAGAATTTATATGAGCTTCAATAATTTGTTCAGGTCTTCCAAAATTAATTTTTAATGTAGCTATAATTTGGGGCACACATTGAGGTAAAATTAAACAACTTTTAATTTTACCGTGTGTTTTTTTAGTAAAACTAAAAAACACTGACTCTTTTAAATATTTCTACAATCTTAATAAATTCTCATGATTACTTACTTGATGAAGATTAGTAGATCCTTCAAAACTACTAATAAAAACAGGCCTGTCATATGGATTGCTATTAAAAATAGGGGGGTTTCCAAGATTCCTTTTTTTATATAATATACTTGTGCCTGAACTTTTATCGTTATAAGTTGACAGAGACCTACCAAGTGTTGAAGTTAAAGGGGCAACATTGTCGATAAATGGCTTATCTATATTTAAAGAAAGCAATTTATTGATCAAGCGGTTAGTTTTAATTATTTCCTCTTCATCGATGTCCTGACTATCATTAAAGCACCCATCTTCTTCTATAATTCTCCTAGACTCCTCAGTTAACTCTTTTTCTAGAACTTAATAGATCTCGTTCTTCCTGTAGAAGTTAAAGTTTCATTTTTGTTTTGCTGCTTGTTCATTAGGAGCTTTTAAGGAGGTTGCGGAACAAGATTTCTTGGTTTTGGAACCTTTTGGGTAAGACTTCTTAGTGGCCGCGTCTACACAAAGTGAGCACTTCCAGCTGTCATCACCAATTATTTGGGAATCATCCTGTACATTTTAACATTCAAAACAGCATCATTTTTTACATTATGTACATTCTACCATCCGTTTTTCATGATATCGTTTGCCGCACACAGGACATAGATCAATTTTGGTTCATCCAGCAGCTTATGAACCCATATTCGTAGACCTATACACAAATAAAAATAAACATAAACAGAATTCTTACTATAAGATCGTAAGTTATCGTCAACGCTGTCGGTATTCTTCACACACTCAACTGTCATTTGAGTTTTCTTTATAATCGTATCACTGGTGTACGATTGTTTAATCGATTTAATTAAAATGATTGCTTTTTAAATTATTAGACTTAACTAAAGTCTATTTAGATCTAAATATAAATACAAGGAAAACAAAATATATGGCGTGCACAATGTCGAATCGACATGAGAATCTGCAGGTAGACAACCATAGCTACGAATATGCCTCCATCTTTCCCTACCAATGCTCAATAATAAATGACAGAAACAATATTAGTCAAAAAATACAACCACGAATTTTTAGCGGTAATAAATACTTTTATCCATACAAGGCATAAAAAGAAAATTACTGGACCCTTTTCTGGTAATGGTACTGGTGAAACGTGGACCCTTTTAACCACTGATGAAAATCAATTGAAAGTATTTTAGCGCAAAATATTAAGAAAGATATTGGGACTAACCCATAGGAGCGTTGGTCCGTGGAGAACAAAAATGAACTCTAAGCTGGATGAATTAATGCTCAGTGTATATATTGTTATATTTGTGAAGTCGCAAACTCAACTGGCTTGGCCTCTTAGAGAGAATCCCAGATAATCGTAACTTTAAACGTAATCCAGATATGGAAACCCAAAGGAAATAGGACAAGAGAAAGGACCCGAAAAAGGTGGATAGACGATGTAGAGGAAGATCTTAAAACCATGAACCTCAGACAGTGGAGAAGGAAAGTATCCGCCAGGACAGAATGAAAGAACGTTATTAAGCATACTAATACTTACAACTGGTTGTAGCACCATTAGAAGACGAAGAAGAAGAACTCTAAATATATTATACTAAAATAAATAAGTGCAGATGAAATAGAAGAAACTTAAAGTTTAGCTTGTCGAAAATACTGGAAATACATCCGCAATTGAATAAATATTAGAACAACAGCATTGGCAAAATTCACAAATGTACAAATCGCTACTATTAGCAACCTTCATTAAATTAATAAAACTAAAATCCTGTAATTTTTGGAATTTTGTATATATGTAAATTGTGGGAAATAGGCTATATTATTAGAACGACAACTTTTTGGTTATACCTCATATATCTTGTAAATACTACCAGGTATACAAATCAATTGTAAATATTTTAAAACTTGTGTAATATAACAAATCCTATATCTGTGTTATGTAAAATATTTTTCTACACCTGTATATAGCTTAACATCACAGTAAGTAAATATATTTTATTACTATAAATATTATATTAAAACTTCTAAATGTTTCTTTTTGTTTTTAGATAACATAAGAAATAAAAGAAGTATAGATTCAATTGACCATGGTTTAATAGGCAGAAGTTTAGATCCAATTGGTGGAGGAAGCTTAATAGGCAGATCTCTAGATAGTATTGGTGGAAACAGATTACTTGGTAGAAGTGTGGATCCCATTGATAATGGACTGATAGGTAGATCCCTAGATAGCATAGGTGGCAGTCGTTTATTAGGCAAAAGTATAGATCCCATTGATCCAGGCAATTTAATTGGAAGATCTCTGGATAGTATTGGTGGAAACCGATTGCTTGGCAGAAGTATTGACCCAATTGACAACGGTTTGATAGGTAGATCACTTGATAGCATAGGCGGCAGTCGTTTATTGGGCAAAAGTGTAGATCCTATTGATCCAGGCAATTTAATTGGAAGATCTCTCGATAGTATTGGTGGAAACCGATTGCTTGGCAGAAGTATTGACCCAATTGACAACGGTTTGATAGGTAGATCACTTGATAGCATAGGCGGCAGTCGTTTATTGGGCAAAAGTATAGATCCTATTGATGGAGGCAGTTTAATCGGAAGATCTCTAGATAGTATCGGTGGAAACCGATTACTTGGCAGAAGTATTGACCCAATTAACCATGGGTTGATTAGTAAATCACTTGATAGCATAGGCGGCAGTCGTTTATTGGGCAAAAGTATAGATCCTATTGATGGAGGCAGTTTAATCGGAAGATCTCTAGATAGTATCGGTGGAAACCGATTACTTGGCAGAAGTATTGACCCAATTGACCATGGTTTAATTGGTAGATCACTTGATAGCATAGGCGGCAGTCGTTTATTGGGCAAAAGTATAGATCCTATTGACGGAGGAAGTTTAATCGGGAAATCTCTAGATAGTATCGGTGGAAACCGATTACTTGGCAAAAGTATTGACCCAATTGACAACGGTTTGATAGGTAGATCACTTGATAGCATAGGTGGCAGTCGTTTATTGGGAAGAAGTATAGATCCTATTGACGGGGGCAGCTTAATCGGAAGATCCCTAGATAGTATCGGTGGAAACCGATTACTTGGCAGAAGTATTGACCCAATTGACCATGGTTTAATTGGTAGATCACTTGATAGCATTGGTGGCAGTCGTTTATTGGGCAAAAGTATAGATCCTATTGACGGAGGAAGTTTAATCGGAAGATCTCTAGATAGTATCGGTGGAAACCGATTACTTGGCAGAAGTATTGACCCAATTGACCATGGTTTAATTGGTAGATCACTTGATAGCATAGGCGGCAGTCGTTTATTGGGCAAAAGTATAGATCCTATTGATGGAGGAAGTTTAATCGGAAGATCTCTAGATAGTATCGGTGGAAACCGATTGCTTGGCAAAAGTATTGACCCAATTGACAACGGCTTGATAGGTAGATCACTTGATAGCATAGGCGGCAATCGTTTATTGGGAAGAAGTATAGATCCTATTGACGGGGGCAGCTTAATCGGAAGATCCCTAGATAGTATCGGTGGAAACCGATTGCTTGGAAGAAGTATTGACCCAATTGACAACGGCTTGATAGGTAGATCACTTGATAGCATAGGCGGCAGTCGTTTATTAGGCAAAAGTGTAGATCCCATTGATCCAGGTAATATAATTGGAAGATCTCTAGATAGTATAGGTGGAAACCGACTGCTTGGTAAAAGTATTGACCCAATTGACAACGGTTTGATAGGAAGGTCCCTTGATAGTATAGGTGGTAGCCGTTTATTAGGTAAAAGTGTAGATCCTATCGATGGAAATCTTATTGGAAGATCACTGCCAGGTGATATTGGTGGTGGTGCTTTGATTGGTAGAGGATTAGATACCATTGATACTTACGAACTTTATTACTAAGATATTGTTATGTTATCAAGTTACCATCAAATCAATAATAATATGGGTTAATTTTGCAATTGTAAATAAAATGTTGAAGCTAACTAGGACTAATATACAAATAAAATAAAATACTTGATTTCTGTTTTCTTTTATTTCACACCAGTATAACAAGAAAAATAGTTTGAATTTATATTGCATTATAAAGCAAATACTAAGAAGAATTTATACACAAAATTGTTAATAAATTATATATAATAGTATGAAAAAAATTATATCGTCGTATATAATAATAAAATGGATCTCTCTTTCGTAGATAAGTCTAGAGACAGGTGATTCATTTTCTTCACAGTATACTTTGTACATTTTTTGAAGATTTAAGAGCCGATTGTTCGAATGCTAATCAAAACTTGATTGTAATTAAATATTTAATTACAATCAAATACGTCACAGCAGCTGTCAAAATTATTAATAATTGCTTAATATTATTATTTATTTGTAAATAAAAACATGAAGTTAACATCAGAAAGAGTTTAATTATGGTTAATTTTAAACTAAAACGCAAAATAATAAAATTGAATAAAATAAATCAGTCAACATAACTTCAAAATGTGACGTATTTGATTTTAATTAAATATTTGATTACAATCAAGTATTGATTAGCGTACGAACTATCGGCAGTAAGATTAAGAAGTTTCCCAACTCCATATAACAAAACAATTTTTTATAATCAATAGAAAAAAGCAATATAAATTAAAATAAACAACAAATAATAAATATATGGTGCTCGGTAAAAAGAGTTTAAGAGCTAATTGTTCGAACGCTAATCAAAACTTGATTGTAATCAAATATCTGTTCCAAATCTTCCAGAGAGATTAAAATCAGGTGATACTACCAGTATTTATTCCAAGATTGAAGAAGTTTATTTACAAAAAAAAAAACGGAACGTAAAATATCGAAACTTAGGAAAAGCTTATGTAACAGCAAAAAATAAGGTAAAACTAGTACTCTGCATGAAAAAACTTGAAGCCTGCAGAAATAAATGCAATCAAAAAATTTCAGAAGATATACAACAAAAGCTATTCGACGAATATTGGTCTATGGGTGATCGCAACAAATGTGTTTTATATATTGTTAGCCTATAGACTCCGAACCAACCAAAAACCACTAGAAAAAGGAGTTTGGATCCGGATAAAGAAAAAGTTCGCAAAGTGACCAATGTTGTTTATTTAAAGGTGAATGGCACTATAATTCGTGTTTGTTAAAAATGTTTTATAAACACATTTAAAAATACATAAAATGCGACGCAATCAACGGGGAATACTGACACAAATAAAAACCCAGGCCTTATTGACTTCTTTGTAGTCAGAAATATTTCAACAAATTACGTAGAGATAGAAGAAGCATTGGATATGAACTCGGACCATTCTCCAATTATTCTCACACTCAGTGATACTGTTATCAAAAAAGAAAGCCCCCTAGACTTGTTAACAACAATACTGACTGGAAAAGTTTCCAGATAGACCTTAAAGAGAAGATTAACCTCTCAGTCCCATTAAGAACCGTTGATCAACTAGAGGCAGAAGTAGAATTACTCAAAAAAAATGTACAACAAGCTGCTTGGAACAACAGCACGAACAGTGTCGAAAGAATAAAAGGAAATAACTACCCGAAAGAACTCAGAGAAATGATAACCGAAAAAAGAAAACTGAGACGCAAGTGGCATCAGTCTAGAGCACCAGTTGATAAAACTAGATTAAATAATGCCTCACAAATATTAAAAAGAGAATCAAAAAATTAAAAACGAATCGGATAGCATCTACCTAAGTGAACTATCAAATAATAGCGTTACTAATTACTCATTGTGAAAGGCTACCAAACGAATAAAAAGGCCAATCTTACAGAATCCACCAATTAGAAATAATAATAGTAGCTGGACAAGAAGCAATATACAAAAGGCCAACAGGTTTGCTGAACACATAGAAAATACTTTTCAACAAATAAAGAACAAGAAATAATTAACTGGGAGCTCCCTGATCAAGATGAAATGGAGATCAGCCCTGTAACTCCAAAATAAGTATATTGGGAAATAAAAGAAAATATAAATCCCAAGAAAGTTCCTGGATTTGATCTAATTACTGGGGAAGAGTAAAAGCAATTTCCAAGGCAAGCTATAATAAAATTAACACATCTTATAAACGCTTCCTTTAGGCTGAGGTACGTACCAAAGATATGGCAGAAATTATAATGACACTAAAACCAGGAAAACCTTCATAGGAAGCTTCTTCATATAGGCCTATTTTAGTGTCATATAGACCTGTCATGTCTAAATTATATGAAAAATTACTCTTAAAGAGACTAAAACCGATTAATGAGGAACAAAATCTAATTCCTAATCATCAGTTTGGGTTTAGAGCAAGCCACTTAACTATAGATCAGGTGGATAGAATAACAGATATAGTAAAAGAAAAGGTCCGTTCCGCAAATGTCCCTAATGCATCGCACGCTTTTGACAAAGTGTGGCATAACGGATTATATCATAAAATGAGATGCTACTTACCAAAGACAATATTCTGACAATATGACAATATATTTTCGAGTTAAATATGAGGAAGCATATTCAGAATTAAGAAAAGTTAAAGCTGGAGTTCCACAAGGAAGTGTCCTGGAACCAGTGCTATACCAGCGATATTCCATCATTAGAACCATCCTAGCAACCATGCTACAGAACTCTCTTAAACAAATTAACATCTGGACCAGGCGATGCCGTATCAAATTGAATGAAATTAAATCTGTTCATGTCAATTTTACTAACAAAAGAGAACAACATATCCCAGTTAGTATACATAGAAACCAAATACCTTATGCAAATACAGCAAAATATTTGGAATTTGGATAAGGGATATTGCTGAATATTACCTTAGATAAGAATTTTGTAATATTTTGTATATAGAACTAACTTGCTTATTGATGATAGTGAATGATTAGATATCATCGATCAAGCAAGATTCCTATTAGAGTCTTATTAAATAAAAAAGAACATTTGATGAGACAAATATGTTTATTACACTGGCTCTTACAAATCTGGATTCAAATACTTCAGGGAGAATAACTAATGATAGCGAGGTCGTGATCCTTTTGCTAATAAGCATAATGAAGAAACTATTAATGTAGTGAAGTCCCACATAAATTCTTTTCCCCTATATGAATCTCATAGTCGACGAGAAAGTAGTAGATTGTATTTGCCATGCCATCTTAATCTTCAGAAAATGTACAAATTATACTGTGAAGAAAATGAATCACCTATCTCTAGACCTATCTATAAAAGAGAGTTCCATTTCATTTCATTTAAAAAACCTAAAGTAGATACGTACCATAAATGTGATGTGCTGAGTAATAAACTCAAAATTACTGAAAGCAAAGATAATAAAACTAAAACAAAAGATGAGATAAGTATTATTATTATAAATAGCAACGATACAGAACAAGCAAAATGTGATAGTACTTTTAGATGCCTCACTTTTGACTTGTAGCAGTGTCTCCCAACTCCATACGTTAATTCTTTTGTTGCCTTTTCCAAAAGAACGATATGGACATATACCCTAACTATTCAGGAGAATGGAGAAGGAAGCGTAGCATATTACATCTGGAACGAAGGTAAAGGAGGAAGGGTAGGTAACAATATAGCTACATATATTTATAAAGTATTATTATCACTACCACCACATGATTCCAAAGTAGCTTTGTACTCGGATACATTCGTTGGTCAGAATAAAAATTCACATGTTACTATGATGTTTTTATTAGCAATACAAAATACCACTAATTTAGAAGTTGTTGACCATAAATGCATGGTGAGTGGACACATTCATATAGAGTGCGATATTGATCATGGATTGATCGAAAAGAAAAAAAAAAGGTTAAGTGCTCCAATTAGCGATCCGCACGACGTATCAGCTTGTGAAAAGTACAAAAAAAAAAAATGAAAATCAATGTTGTAGAACTTTACCATGGTGGTTTCTTAAATATTTCAGATCTTTTGAAAAGTCTTTTTGAAACTGTCTCATGCGTAAAAAGATACACGAGAATCCTTTCAATTGGTTTGATGTGAACTGGTTTTGTTATATAAGAGAAAACATAATTATTCTTTATAAAACATCACTTGATGAAAAAGAGGCATTTTTGACGCTAAGTGTACTACGTAGAAGACAAACTAATGCTAAGTTAGTACCCAGCTGCTTGTATAAAAGCACTCTTACTATATCTATGCAGAAAAAAAGGGATATTTTGGATCTTCTTCCTCTGATAAGTCTAGTATTTTACGATTTTTATAAAAATTTAAAAACAACTGATGCTGCTGATGTGATTTTAGATGATGAATATTCATCTGACACAGAGTAATACTTTTCTCCGTTAAGGGACGTAGCCATTGATCTGCCGACATCGTATTAACATTATTTCTATGTTTTTATATGTATTTTTTTTAATAAATATTGCATAAATATGTTTTATTTTTTTATTTTTTAATAAGCAACAGCTTTTCTGGGCTGAACAAAATAGTAAAAGTTATCTTTTACCGAGCTCCCTAGAAATAATTTAGATCAGATTTTCGGCAAATATGATAATTCATGTTCTACTCATTACAGTTTAAAGTATTGATAGAATAAAGGTCAAATACCTACAAAATATAAATTTAGAACCCATCAGCATGACTGTTAGACATACTACGGAAAGATGCGAAAACAGTGTTATTTATATAAAGTAGGTATTTATAAAAGTGGGAAACCGGTAATGACAAGAAAATATAGTAAAAGTTTTGCTTCTACTGATATAATTTTAATACTATAAATAACGAAATGAAAAAGAAGAACAGGACGGATTTACAATATTGTAGATACAATAGAATCTAAACTACTTGCAATATGGACATGTAATGCGAATGAAAGACGAATGATGGCCAAAACAGGCCTTAAAACTATGTTTTCTGGAATGGAAGGAGGGCAATACCACCATTATAATGGAGAGAATGAATCAAAGGAATATTGAGAGATAGAGCCGTAAATGTGGAGGATGTCAATAAATCAAAATAAAAATAAAATTAAACCAAATCATTCTAATGATATAAAATTTAACGATAAAACCAAATAAAATCAGATTGAAAATAAAACAGATAAAAGA